TATGGAAGGGGCAGGTGAAAAGCTTGCTGTAAAATACCATGAAATGTAAGGTAGTCTCAAAACATGTAAAAACGCTGGGTAATGCACAGCTGCGTAGTAGATCATAGCTTGGTAGCGAGTGAAAGCATAGCTTGGTAGCGAGTGAAAGCTAGGACCAAGCAAACCAATAGGCCAAGAAAGCCTGCAAGGTAAACGTTGAAACCCAAATGAAAAATGTAAGCTATGGAAGGGGCAGGTGAAAAGCTTGCTGTAAAACACCGTGAAATGTAAGGTGGGTAATCTCAAAACATCTAAAAATGCTGGGTAGTGCGCAGCTGCGTAGTAGATCATAGCTTGTTAGCGAGTGAAAGCTAGGACCAAGCAAATCAATAGGCTAAGAATGCCTGGAAGGTAAACGTTGAAGCCCAAATGAAAAATGTAAGCTATGGAAGGGGCAGGTGAAAAGCTTGCTGTAAAAGACCATGAAAGGTAAGGTAATCTCAAAACATTTAAAAACGTGGGTAGTGCACAGCTGCATAGTAGATCATAGCTTGGTAGCGAGTGAAAGCTAGGATCAAGCAAATCAATAGGCCAAGAATGCTTGGAAGGTAAACGTTGAAACCCAAATGAAAAATGTAAGCTATGGAAGGGGCAGGTGAAAAGCTTGCTGTAAAATACCATGAATGTCAATGTAAGGTAATCTAAAAACCTCTAAAGACGCTGGGGAGTGCACAGCTGCGTAGTAGATCATAGCTTGGTAGCGAGTGAAAGCTAGGACCAAGCAAATCAATAGGCCAAGAATGCCTGGAAGGTAAACGGTGAAACCCAAATGAAAAATGTAAGCTATGGAAGGGGCAGGTGAAAAGCTTGCTGTAAAATACATCCCCTTGTCCATTCTGCAGGATTTTATAGATATGACATGGTGGTCCCAACCCACTGGGTAGCCTAAATTGAAGAACCTGAGGTAAATTGCAAAAACCTAAATTTACTTACCTGAGCTCTTTCCCACAGCATGAGTGCAATAAAAAGTCCTTTTCTGTGTGCTCAGATTCTCTGTCTCAGTTTTTCTTAGTTTAGTGTCAGACTTAGTAGCCCCAGCGTCCCTTCTGCTACCCCTTGCCACACCTTACTACCCACCTGTGGCTAAAACATGTGGCTCCAGCCCCTAGGTTGTCAGCCAAGCGGTACCACGGGGATGCGCAAACCTAAACAAAAAGGGATTTGACTGTAACCACCTGCCCCATTCTGTTTTCGTGGTGGGCTTGGGTATGCTTGTGCGAGTCGCTTGCTCCCCTACCCACCACCGGTCTGGGGTACTGGAAGACAGTCCAGGAACCGCTTACTGGTGGCTCAGTCAAATCCCAAAAGGAATTTAACAACATGTTTAAACATGTTTCATCTTGCGCATTTTCTTTGTTGGCGATGCCGTATGGTGTAGCTTATCGCCTATGGCTTTAGCTATGAGGGGTGCTCCCGGATGCCGGGAACGCCCGCGCGCGCGTGCCCCAAACGGGTTTGATACGAGGTCTCGGGGGCCGCGCGTAGTAGATCATAGCTTGGTGGCGAGTGAAAGCTAGGACCAAGCAAATCAATAGGCCAAGAATGCATGGAAGGTAAACCTTGAAACCCAATGAAAAATGTAAGCTATGGAAGGGGCAGGTGAAAAGCTTGCCGTAAAATACCATGAAATGTAAGGTAATCTCAGAACATCTAATAACGCTGGGTAGTGCACAGCTGCGTAGTAGATCATAGCTTGGTAGCGAGTGAAAGCTAGGACCAAGCAAATCAATAGGCCAAGAAAGCCTGGAAGGTAAACGTTGAAACCCAAATGAAAAATGTAAGCTATGGAAGGGGCAGGTGAAAAGCTTGCTGTGAAACACCGTGAAATGTAAGGTAATCTAAAAACATCTAAAAACGCTGGGTAGTGCGCAGCTGCGTAGTAGATCATAGCTTGGTAGTGAGTGAAAGCTAGGACCAAGCGAATCAATAGGCCAAGAATGCCTGGAAGGTAAACGTTGAAACCCAAATGAAAAATGTAAGCTATGGAAGGGGCAGGTGAAAAGCTTGCCGTAAAACACCATGAAATGTAAGGTAATCTCAGAACATCTCAAAACGCTGGGTAGTGCACAGCTGCGTAGTAGATCATAGCTTGGTAGCGAGTGAAAGCTAGGACCAAGC